TCTATCTATCTATCTATCTATCTATCTATCTATCTATCTATCTATCTATCTATCTATCTATCTATCTATCTATCTATCTATCTATCTATCTATCTATCTATCTATCTATCTATCTATCTATCTTTCCTTCCATCCATCCATCCATCCATCCATCCATCCATCTACTTACCTACCTAACAACATACCCCCTATCTATCATCTGTATATTCTACCTGGCTATTATCTTTATATTCTACCTATCTATCATCTACATATTCTACTTATCTATCATATATATTTACCTATCACCTATATATTCTACCTATCTATCATCCACATATTCAACCTGTCTATCATCTATATTATATTTAAAATGTAACGCTAGTAACAGAGCGTCCGGTTGTTATGATATCATTTAATCAAGGTTTCATTGTTAAGTCAACTCTATGGCATTTAACCAAGGTTTCATTGTTAAGTCAACTCTATGGCATTTAACCAAGGTTTCATTGTTAAGTCAACTCTATGGCATTTAACCAAGGTTTCATTGTTAAGTCAACTCTATGGCATTTAACCAAGGTTTCATTGTTAAGTCAACTCTATGGCATTTAACCAAGGTTTCATTGTTAAGTCAACTCTATGTCATTTAACCAAGGTTTCATTGTTAAGTCAACTCTATGCCATTTAACCAAGGTTTCATTGATAAGTCAACTATATGCCATTTAACCAAGGTTTCATTGTTAAGTCAACTCTATGGCATTTAACCAAAGTTTCATTGTTAAGTCAACACTATGCCATTTAACCAAGGTTTCATTGTTAAGTCAACTCTGTGCCATTTAACCAATGAGACAGTTTAAAACCATATCCAAACACAAGTCCCACCGTGGAGTTTGTGGAGCACAAGTAGCCTAAATGAAGTACGTCTAACAGTTTAGTTACTCCAGTTTTTTAATAATTTGTGTTCGAAGATGTCACTTGTGGACGGTAGGCCTCCACAATTTGGCATGAAACATTAATATTTTTTTAAAATAAAAACTCTCTACGTGTCTCTATCTTCCCAAGCCCTATGCATTGTGTTGCATCTCAGTCAATTAACTAGCTAACTTAATCTGCGCCTAATATAGACTAACATACATCGGACTGTTTCTACTCAGTTGGCAAAGTTTACAACCTCAGTGCGTTTACCCCGAGGTCTCAGGGAGTGATATGCCCCCCCCCCTTTCCCTATTCCTATTAATAATTGCTCTTTATTTGTATTACAAATAAGTAATTTCATTAACAAATCTTTTTAATTGGATGAAACATATTGTTTTATTTCGAATAATATGTAACTACAGCACAATTTTTCCTCCCCACCTCTTCACGTGGTTCGGAAAGTTCAAGCGTCATATTTTTTAATCTTTGATGTAAAGCACCAACACTTCTATGGACTAGATCTTGGACTGACACTGTATCCAGTTCCCTGGCTTTTCTAGGTACCACTCAGCACCAGACTGCAGTTAAAGGTGGTGTTTGTACACCCTGAGGGTGTTGAGGTGAAGGAAACGGGTGTTTGTTTTCATTGTCCAAGCCTGTTAAACAAGTCAACGCGGCCAACACAGCATGCTCCTACACGGCGCGTTCTGTCGCACACCTGCCGTGTGTTGGGAGCACTCAGCAACAGGTTCAGTTGATACAGCTTTTTTTTTTGTAGTGCCAAACTGATGGGCCTGTCTCGTCAAGATGACAAACCACTGGGATTGTTTCATAGTGATGCCTAACTGGTGGGATTGTTTCATAGTGATGCCTACCTGGTGAGATTGTTTCATAGTGATGCCTACCTGGTGGGATTGTTTCATAGTGATGCCTAACTGGTGGGATTGTTTCATAGTGATGCCTAACTGGTGGGATTGTTTCATAGTGATGCCTAACTGGTGGGATTGTTTCATAGTGATGCCTAACTGGTGG